CCGCCTCCATGGCCACCGCCTCCTCCCCCTCCTCCTCCATATCCTCCACCTCCGTGGCCTCCGCCTCCATGGCTTCCACCACAGCAACCATCAGGAGCAGCAGCTGCCACGCTCAACGCAGCCACGAATGACACTAAAATCTGTTGAGATTACACATAATTACACGCTTTTGCATATCTAAATCTTTATATTCTCTTTGTGTAGCTACTTTACTTATTAAGATTATTATTATTATTATTATTATTATTATATATATATATATATATATATATATATATATATATATATATATATATATATATTTATATATAGACATTCACTACAATTGCCATACAGCAAGATAATACTCACAATGGTCCTCATGTTGCGAGGCTTTCCCAGCACCAGGAGATGACTGATAATGTCTTTCTTCTCGCTCATATTTATACAGACACTGACCTTCCCTCTCCTACGCCAGTCGAGATGCCAGTTACTCTTTTATCTCGTGTTGCGCATTGGCAAGGGGAAAACATTATTCCAAGCAAATCTTCCTTGTTTTGTTTAAGTATCGAAGGTCTCAATATCACTCGAATAAAATTTGTAAAATTTCACAAGACATTTGCTTTGGGGTAAAAGAGTTTGGATATTTCAGAATAATTTTTCAGTTATCATCGTAATAAGAAGCCAGTTGTAAATCCTTCACCTTGACAATGATGGGGAAAAATTGTGATGGTAATGATGATAACAAAGGTGAGGAAAGTAATGATAAAGTTGATCATGAAAGGAGTAATAATGGTAATGATTTTAGAAATAATGATATTAGTTTTCATGATGACATTGATATAAAGAACACCAGCAGGAGTATCAATGATAATACATATACACATGTACAGACACCCAAATCACACACACATACACATGCACACACACACACACTCGTACGCGTACACACACATACACACACGTGCGCACGCACACACACATACACACACACATACACACACGCGCACACACACACACACGTACGAACGCGCACACACGCACACACACACGCACACACGCACACACACGCACACATACACACACACGTACGAACCCGCACACACACAAACAAATAAACAAAACACATAACTGACACCGGACATTCCTCACGAGACCTTGGCACTAGAAATAACAATAATACCAAACGAAAGGAAACGAAATAATCAACAGAAATTCATTTTTATAAGACTTGCAATATACTGCACTTGATTACTAAAAAAGTTATGAGACTCATTTAACACAGCATGCATTTGACATTTCGTTAAGATCTGTATGGTGATATTACGACAATGATTAATGTAGTGATTAGTGTTCATTATTCTTTAAGCACCAGTAGTAGTAGCAATGCAGTAAAGAAAAAAAAACATATTTTGAGAAAATAATAGTGTACCAGAAAATACATAACTCTTTAAAAAGTGAAAACAGATGCCACTTCACTACGTCATCAGCAGCAGTAAAGTGTCAGTTCACGTCGACGTGATATCCTACCAAAACAATGACTTGCACTTTTGACGTCACTCGGTTATTTCAAGGGGTTTTATAAATATACTATGCTGGTATCCTGAGTACTTGCATAATCTATTTCATAAGTTCCATCAGTTAATGATACATTGCATGTTGTAATATATAATTTTAATTATTTTATGATGTACATATAATCACATAGTTATATAACGCATTATGTTGTAAACCGCATTATGATTGCATATTGAATCATAAAGCATCTCATATGAAATTTGCAAACTGCTTAATATCCAATATGTGTATATTTCCTCTGAAAAATTAAGGGGCAAGGGATACACATATGATCTAAGTACAAATAGTTCTACAGAAATTAAAGATGACTATGAGAAAAAAAAATCATAAATGCATGAATGAAAGAACATAGACTACTGTTTGATTAAGTAACTAATCGTTGCAACAATAGACCCATTAATCAAACAGTCAATTAAAAGATGAATAAACGAAGATTTCCAGGAACAATATTCTATAAACCACTAAACAGCATTGTCACTCGACCAGAAATTAACGAAGGATATTTTTGCATTTAGCGCACTTTCTAAAAAGTTATTTGATCTAAGGTTTTATTATTAGAATCAAAAATCGTACAAAGACCTAAACTATATTTTAGAATTATGTGAAAAAAGATACTACGGTTTATAAAATGCTAAGGAAGATGATGATTAAGATGGCTACAACATTTCCTGCAGTTATGAAAACGTAAATGACAATGATGACCTTTATGGCAATGATAATGATTATATACACACACACATATATATATATATATATATATATATATATATATATATATATATATAACGATTATATATATATACAGAGAAATACTCACACACACGCATATATATGTATTTATATATATATATATTTGTATATATATATATATATATATATATATATATATATATATATATATATATATATATATATATATATATATATATATATATATATATATATATATATATATATGTATATACTGTATATATGTATGTATGTATATGGATATTTATGTATTGTGTGCATTTGTATATTTATATATACTTATACAAATATGTATATGCATGTAAAGGTATATTTATATACATATGTACGTATGTATAGGTATATGCTTATTTATTCATATATATATATATATATATATATATATATATATATATATATGTATGCACGCCTACATAGGTATATATATATACATATATATTTATATATATATTTATATATTCATACGCAAACACACATACACACACATGAATATACATATTTATAGAAACATGTACATAAAGAGATGGATATGGATATATATACACATACAAATATATAACATATATCACCATTTACAGTGTACACATAAACATACAAACGTAGAGAGATTTTCCTACTTTTTTATAGTAATGAATAAACGTATGACATGATTTTTCATTTTGCACCGTAAACCTTAACAAGAATGTGTAGTGATATTTTTGATAAGCCAAATATCAACGGAATATCCTCAAGTAACACTGAAGACCTCCGCTATTCGAATATAATAAAGATTATCTTACGCGAAGGTAGTTCTGCTGACCTTAGGGCCATTCGTAGAAGGGGGAGATAAGAGTAACTGGTACCCCAGCATCGAAGGAGAGGGAAAGACAGTGTCATTATAAATAGAAGCGCGATGGACACCACAATCAGTCATCTCCTGGTGCTGGGAACGCCTCGCAACATGAGGACCATTGTGAGTATTCCTCTAGGACAGATATGTACTCGGAGTATGATATAAATCTGTAGAGATTTATATGGACATACAGAAAAGCATATACATTTAATTTATATTCAGCTTAGTGCATAGAATTCATCTATTGTGCAGATTACATATTGCAATAAAATATTGTGTTACCTCGACAGATTTTAGTGTCATTCGTGGCTGCGTTGAGCGTGGCAGCTGCTGCTCCTGACGGTTGCTGTGGTGGAAGCCATGGAGGAGGAGGCCACGGAGGTGGAGGATATGGAGGAGGGGGTGGAGGAGGCAGTGGCCATGGAGGCGGAGGAGGCAGAGGCGGCAGAGTGGTGAAAGCAGAGCTGGTCGGAGTTGGCACTCTTCCTAGCACTGGTGGAGGATCAGGAGGTTATGGCTCCCGCGGAGGTGGCTCTCGAGGTGGCCACGGCAGATCCAGCGGAGCCAGCATTGTCCGAGCTGAGCTGGTCGGAGTTGGCACTCTTCCTAGCACTGGTGGAGGATCAGGAGGCTATGGCTCCCGCGGAGGTGGCTCTCGAGGCGGCCATGGCAGATCCAGCGGTGCCAGTATTGTTCGGGCACAGCTGGTTGGTGTTGGCAGCCTTCCCTCAGGCGGGGGCAGTGGCCACGGTTCCAATGCCATTTCCACCGGTGGGGGATACGGCGGTGGAAGTGGCTGGTAGAACTTTTTCTCCACATTTTGTGAAGAATTTACATAACATAAAACGTATTCATTCACTATTTGCGAATAAACTATCACATAGCCATTTCGAAGCTTTAATGTGTATTCCTTCTGAGATAGGAAGCAGGCAGAATGATAACAAAATGATAACAATAACATTGCTGATGATAGTGATAATCATAATTATAAAGCAGTTGAGTTACTGAAACATAACAGTCAACTAGAGAAACAGTAACATTACTAGTGAGAAACCATGAATTCCTATTGAAGTGGAAAATTATGACTACGGTAATGCAGTAAACATAATGAAGTTAATGTCAAGTTAAAAGTAGTCATGAAAATAAAAGTGATAGTAGTAAAAGCAGTAATGACAGGTAGTAAGGATGTTCTTGACGATGATGATTATGACAGTAATGATTATAAAGCATAGTTTTCTGCTGTAACCCTCTCAATTAATTTTACCGATATATGAAAACAATCATAAAAGATCCATCCATAATGATAATTTAAAAACTTCGCTACTCAAAATAAACAAATAATTTATATTCGCAACAGCCGTTAGTTGTACATAAAACTTGCGCTATATTACACTTGCGAACTACTCATTATACATGCACATACACACACACACGCACACACACACATAGTTCAGTAAACGCAGGATATCAATGGATAATTGAAAAAGGCTAGGTTAGGTTAGAGAACGAATAATCTCGCAAAGCATGTATATAGCATTTTGGTCAAAGGTTACATAGAATTATTTCAATAACAATAAATGTTCTTCATTCATAAAGTAGCAGTACTACTGCAGGAAAAAAAACATACATATACATATACTATATGTTAAACAAGTTATATACATAGTGTACTGGAAGATAAAAAATATTTAAAAAGTGAGCATAAATGTCAGTTCGATACGTCATCAGTAGCAGTGAAGTGTCAGTTCGCAAAGACATGATTTTCTACCATAACAATGACGTCACTCGGTTATTTCAAAACTTGTTATAAATATATTGTCCTGGCATACTGAGTAACATATAATATTCTAAGTTCCCATATTGTAATATACATTACAATTCATATTGTGTTTTAAAGTACATTGGAATACTAAATGCATATTGCCTTTTGTAGTATATCTTAATAAGCATACAGATTGCATCAGATACTATCAATTTACATACCGCTTAATATCAAATTTACATATTTTCCTTTTAACAAATGAAGGACCAAGAAATATACATAATCAAACGAAGTACAAAGAGTTTTGGTAAAATTGATGATTATTAAAAAATACATTCATGAAAAAGGACGAAAAAAAAATAAGTAACTAGCAATCAAGTAGCTAATCAAAACATTAATTAATGGATGAATAAATAAAGAAAATTTTACCTTCAGGAAGAATCTTCTTTAAGTCATTAAGCAGTACTGTCACTCGACCTGAAGTTAGTGAAGAATTATTTAGCATTTGGTGAACTTTCTTAAAAGCTGATTAATCTAAGGCCATAGTTCTTAAATACAGAAAATTCGTATGGAAGAAAAATGCTAAAAGCTTTATTAATTAGAAAAAAATGCCTAATCTTAACTTGAGTGCTCATTAATCGGGCTTAGATCACCCTACCACCTCGTTAGTTAGCAAAGGCTTCCCCAGACTCTTCGACCTTGACCCTCCTCCTGAGACCTGTTTCAGCTTTTGTTCGTTCTGTATATTGTATAAATTCTCTCCTTGTATCCATTTGGGTTTATTATCTGTCTGAAAACGATCTCGTGGAGAGTTCGAAAAGTCACGATTTATTTTCATTTCTTACTGTGTTTGTTTTCCTTTTCACAAATATATACAAACGCATATGTATATATGCACATATCCTTTCTATCTATATGTATATGCGTATACATATATTCTTGTATACATATACGTATACAAGAATATGTGTGTGCATATGCATGTGTTTGTGTGTGTATACAAATACGTGATCCATGCGCATATATATAAATATAGATATACATACACACGCACATATATACATATATGCATATGTATGCGTATGTGTGTGATAGATATACATACAAATGTATATGAAGATATACTATCACCATCGCCACTATAATTCTACCTTTTCAGGGCATTGAATAAATTCACATGCCTTCGTCATATTGCTTTTATGATTCTTCATGTTGCTGTTAATGTAGAGACATCTGACTCTTCGCATATAATAAAGATTATCTTACATATGCGAAGGATGTTCTGACCACAGGGTCATGTGTAGAAGGCGGAGATAAGAGTAACTGGCATCTCGGCTTCGAAGGAGAGGGAAGGACAGTACCAGTATAAATGGAAGCGCGATGGACACAATCATCAGTCATCTCCTGGTGCTGGGAACGCATCGCAACATGAGGACCATTGTGAGTACTCTTCTATTATAGATATGTACTAGAAGTAAGATATAAGTCCATACAGATTTGAATGGAACTACAAAAAGGCATATACATTCAATTTATATTTAAAACTTGGTGTATAGAATCTGCCTATTGTGCATACTGTACATATGTAACCAAATATTGTGTTATCTCGACAGACTTTAGTGTCATTCGTGGCTGCGTTGAGCGTGGCAGCTGCTGCTCCTGACGGTTGCTGTGGTGGAAGCCATGGAGGCGGAGGCCACGGAGGTGGAGGATATGGAGGAGGCGGTGGCCATGGAGGCGGAGGAGGCAGAGGCGGCAGAGTGGTGAAAGCAGAACTGGTTGGAGTTGGCACTCTTCCTAGCACTGGCGGAGGAGGAAGTGGAGGATCAGGAGGTTATGGCTCCCGCGGAGGTGGCTCTCGAGGCGGCCACGGCAGATCCAGCGGTGCCAGCATTGTCCGCGCTGAGCTGGTAGGAGTTGGCACTCTTCCCAGCACTGGCGGAGGAGGAGGCGGAGGATCAGGAGGCTATGGTTCCAGCGGAGGTGGCTCTCGAGGCGGCCATGGCAGATCCAGCGGTGCCAGTATTGTCCGGGCACAGCTGGTTGGTGTTGGCAGCCTTCCCTCAGGCGGGGGCAGTGGCCACGGTTCCAATGCCATTTCCACCGGTGGGGGATACGGCGGTGGAAGTGGCTGGTAATTTTTTTTTTTTTTTTTTTTTTTTACATGAAATTTTGCGAAGAATTTACAAAACACAAAACATATTTGCGAATAAACTACTGAATAGCAAATTCGAAGTTTCATGTGTATTCCCTCTGAAGTAGGAAACAGAAAGATACTGATACTGATGATAATTTCGTTAATAGTGATAATGGCATAATTATATCAAATTCGAATATAGAAACAATAAAATAATGAGAATATCGTTGCTGATGATACTAATAACTATAACGATAAAAGTTGAGTTACTAAAAAAAAAAAAAAAAAAAAAAAAAAAAAAAAAAAACAATCAACTAAAGAAACAGTATTATTAGTGAGAAACAAAAAATTTCTATTTGAAGTCGATTCCAGTAAACGCAGGATATCAATGGATTATTGAAAAGGGCATATACAAGTGTGTACTATCTTGCATACGATGTATATAGCATTTCATTTAAAGATTGTAAAAAAAAAAAAATGCAAAAGTGAACTCCAATAACGATAAATGCTCCTCATTCTAAAGAAAATAATAAATATGTATGCATAAATATATATATATAGAGAGAGATTGCATATTGAGCAAGTAATATGCACAGTGTACTAGAAGATACAAAATTATTCAAAAGTGTCACTTTACTACGTAATCAGCATTGGTGAAGTGTCACTCAGTTCACAGGCCTGATTTTCTACCAAACAACGATTTGCACATTTGACATCCCTCGGTAATTTCAAAACTTCATATAAATATATTGTCCTGCCATAATGAGTAACATGACATAATTTTCTATCATGTAAGTTTCCATATTGCAATACATATTACAATTCATATTGTGCCACAAAGTACACTGGAATAGTAATTGCACATCGCTTTTTGTAATATATCTTAATATACTTATATATTGGACCATAAAGAATGTCGCATTAAATTTACATATTGTTTAATATCAGATTTACATATTTACCTTTGGCCAAATGAAGAACCAAGAAATATACATATGTATTGACAGTCATAGCCATACGAAGTACAAAGAGTTTCATTAAAACTAATGATTATAAGCAAAGTAAATCTACGAAAGAAAGGGCAAACAAAATATCAAATAGATATCAACCAATTAATCAAAACATTGATAGAAGGATGATTTTCTTTTTCTTTTTTAATCTTGCCTTCATGTTCTGTAAACCACTAAACAGAATTGCCACTCGACCAGTAATTAATGAAGAATGCATTAGGTTTTAGTGAAAATTCTTAACTGCTAATTGATCTAAAAATTTTATTCTTGAATACAGAAATGCTAAAAACTAGAACTAAATTTTCTAATTGTATGCTAGAGTTGTAAATACAGAGACCAGTTCATAAATGCTGCTGCTGTTACTAATGATCAAGATATCTATAGTAGCCCCCTATGGTATCATATATATGAGTGTGTATATGTGTATATATATTTATTTACACATATATATATATTTATATATATGTATACATATATCTGTTTATTTATTTATATGTATGTACATATATTTATATATATGTATATATATTTATATATATGTATATATATTTATGTATATGTATATATATGTATACATATATGTGTAAGTATAAATATATATACGTATGTGTTGTGTCCGTAAATATGCACTTTTTTCGAATATAATAAAGATTATCTTACATATGCGAAGAATGTTCTGACATCAGGGTCATGCGTAGAAGGCGGAGATCAGAGTAACTGGCATCCCGTCTTCGAAGGAGAGGGAAGGACAGTACCAGTATAAATGGAAGCGCGATGGACACAATCATCAGTCATCTCCTGGTGCTGGGAACGCCTCGCAACATGAGGACCATTGTGAGTACTCCTGTATTATAGATATGTACTAGAAGTAAGATATAAATCCATGCAGATTTGAATGGATATACAAAAAGGCATATACATTCAATTTATATTCAGAACTTGGTGTATAGAATCTGTATACTGTGCATATTGTACATATGTAACCAAATATTGTGTTTTCTCGACAGATTTTAGTGTCATTCGTGGCTGCGTTGAGCGTGGCAGCTGCTGCTCCTGACGGTTGCTGTGGTGGAAGCCATGGAGGCGGAGGCCACGGAGGTGGAGGATATGGAGGAGGGGGTGGAGGAGGCGGTGGCCATGGAGGCGGAGGAGGCAGAGGCGGCAGAGTGGTGAAAGCAGAGCTGGTCGGAGTTGGCACTCTTCCCAGCACCGGAGGAGGAGGTGGAGGCTCAGGAGGCTATGGTTCCAGCGGAGGTGGCTCTCGAGGCGGCCACGGCAGATCCAGCGGTGCCAGCATTGTCCGAGCTGAGCTGGTCGGAGTTGGCACTCTTCCCAGCACTGGAGGGGGAGGTGGAGGCTCAGGAGGCTATGGTTCCAACGGAGGTGGCTCTCGAGGCGGCCACGGCAGATCCAGCGGTGGCAGTATTGTTCGGGCACAGCTGGTTGGTGTTGGCAGCCTTCCCTCAGGTGGGGGCAGTGACCACGGTTCCAATGCCATTTCCACCGGTGGGGGATATGGCGGAGGTAATGGCTGGTAAATCGTTATTTCATAAAACAACAACGTATTTCTTTATCGTGTGCGAATAAACAAGTAAATGACCCTTTTGACGTTTCATGTGTTCCTCCTGAAGTAGGAAGTAGTTAGAGCCATATTGGCACTGATGGAAATATTGATGATAATGAAAATGGTATTATGATTTTCTATATCAAAGATATGAAAGATTAATATTGATTGGAATGATCAAATGTAAAGAATAATGTCGACGAATATACTGCTAATGATAATGAAGCAAATGAGTTATCAATTCTAAAAAAAACGAGATAGTAGTCAGATAGAGAAGCATACATTACCACTACTTAGTCAAATACACACATGCATGCTAACATACACACGCACACATACAAGGGCATGATGCCAGCCTTTACGAACTAATCCAAAAGAATCGAAGTTCAAATTGACTTATACATGTTTCTACATACAGCGAGAGATATGAAAAAATAAACAGTTCCACATGATATAATGCATAATTATAAAAATATTCCTCTATCAAGAAATCGATATTGATGCTGACGTAGAGGATTGTAAAGGACAGAGACACAGATAGTTCATGGTGTAATTTTATCCTCCCTTGTCTCAGTTTAAACAATCGTCTTTAAGAATTCACCGATGACGAAGAGGAGCCTTGACACCTTCGCTTCCTTATAAGTATCCTGCGTCGTTGTTTCAGTCTCTGTAAGATTGCTAGTGAGGGGGAGAAACTGTTAGGGTAACACTGTGAGAGAAAAACAACGAATTTTGTTGAAGCTTATGATGATTTCTATAATTATGGAGGTAAATATGATAATAAGCATGATGAAATTAACGATTAGGAAAAAAAAGTAAAAATAGTAAAAAGGGTAGAAGTGTTAGTGAGAATAATAATGCAACAAACGATAGGGATCCTTATGATAACAATAATTATAAAACATTATCTTTCTGTTGTAATCACAGCATTACTTCCAGCGATACATAAAAAGGTACATTCATAATGATAATCTTAAAACGTCCCTACCTGAAATAAACATAAATATTTCAAATCCGAGGAGACCCTTCTCGCACTATGACGTCATCAGCAACATCAAATGCCGCATCTCATAGACATGTCTTGCTTCCATAACAGTGACTTGCAACTGTGAAGTCACTGAGCTACGTCAGACTTCGTTTCTAAAGTGTATTTGTGTCTTTAATTACACTGAGAGAATTGGTTCATGCACTAATTTTATCATGGCCTGTAGTGCATTATCTCTATACAGATGTGTGTACATGTGTGTGTGTAGTGTGTGTTTGTCAGTGTAATTGTCTTTATATATATATATGCAAAGATACTCACACACATATTTACAGATATACATATACATATATATACATATGTATGTGTGTGCGTGTGTATGTGTGTATGTATGTATATGTACACGCTCACACAGACACGCATATATATGTATATGTATATACACACATCTATGTGTACATATGCATACACGCACATATATATATGATATACATAGATATGCATATCTCTATATATTATATACATACAAGTCTCTATATAAATATACAGATATAAACATATATATACACGCTCACACAGACACGCATATATATGTATATGTATATACACACATCTATGTGTACATATGCATACACGCACATATATATATGATATATATAGATATGCATATCTCTATATATTATATACATACAAGTCTCTATATAAATATACAGATATAAACATATATATACATATATATAAATGCGTGTATACATGTATATATACAAATGTATGTATAAATAAACATGTATACATATATAGACACACATATACATATGTAAATATATGTGTATATCTAAGTATACATATACGTGTATATGCAAATGCATGCAACATATATATGTGTACACATATGTGTTTATAAATGTATATGTATATGATAATATATATGAAATATATATATACCTACATATATCTAAGTATACATACATACTTATATATAAACGAACACATACATACACATATATAACATATATACACATATATGTATTTGTAAATACATCTATACATATGTATATATACATATATATGTACACATATACATACATATGTATACACACAAATATATGTGTGTGGATGTGTATTTATATTATCACTACAATTCTTACATTTTTTTTATTATCAGTTTATTATCAATTCCTTTTATCACTAATCCTCCTGTTGCTCGCATTCCTGACACCAACAAAAATTCTGAACAATTCTTTTTATTGTCACATATCAAATATCTTGAAACCTCTTCTATTCGAAAACAATGAGGAAAAACGGGAAAGATATTCTGTTGACCTCTGACCAATGCATGTGACGCGAAGATAAGAGTAACTGGCACCCCGGCATCGAAGAAGAGGGAAGGACAGTGCCAGTATAAATAGCAGCGCGATGGACGGCACAATCAGTCATCTCCTGGTGCTGGGAACTCCTCGCAACATGAGGACCTTTGTGAGTATTCCTCAACAACATAGTACTCGAAGTATGATATAAATGTACACTATATAGATTTAGATGGAGACACAGAAAGGCATATACATTCAATTTGTAGTGATCGGTATAGTGTATAAAATACAGATTACATATTGCAATCTAATATTGTGTTACCTTGACAGATTTTAGTGTCATTCGTGGCTGCGTTGAGCGTGGCAGCTGCTGCTCCTGACGGTTGCTGTGGTGGAAGCCATGGAGGCGGAGGCCACGGAGGTGGAGGATATGGAGGAGGGGGTGGAGGAGGCGGTGGCCATGGAGGCGGAGGAGGCAGAGGCGGCAGAGTGGTGAAAGCAGAGCTGGTCGGAGTTGGCACTCTTCCCAGCACCGGAGGAGGAGGTGGAGGCTCAGGAGGCTATGGTTCCAGCGGAGGTGGCTCTCGAGGCGGTCACGGCAGATCCAGCGGTGCCAGCATTGTCCGAGCTGAGCTGGTCGGAGTTGGCACCCTTCCTAGCACTGGCGGAGGAGGAGGTGGAGGATCAGGAGGTTATGGTTCCAGCGGAGGTGGCTCTCGAGGCGGCCACGGCAGATCCAGCGGTGCCAGCATTGTCCGCGCTGAGCTGGTAGGAGTTGGCACTCTTCCCAGCACTGGCGGAGGAGGAGGTGGAGGCTCAGGAGGCTATGGTTCCAGCGGAGGTGGCTCTCGAGGCGGCCATGGCAGATCCAGCGGTGCCAGCATTGTCCGGGCACAGCTGGTTGGTGTTGGCAGCCTTCCCTCAGGCGGGGGCAGTGGCCACGGTTCCACCGGTGGGGGATACGGCGGTGGAAGCGGCTGGTAAAACGTTATTCTTGCAAATGGGCAGGTTTCCAAAGACGTTACTAATTTCAAAACAGGAATACCACTTTAGTATTGATATTGTTGAGTAAGAATAAAAGGAAAATAAAAATGTCCGCACGATGTTTATTTTCTATTTCAAGTAAAGTAGTAAATATTCAAAAGATAATGGTGATAATGATAGTAATAACAATTAATGATATGATCAAAACTACAATACAGTAATAATAGTACCATCAACAATGAGAATGACAACTGCAGTTTCACAATAAACAAATAATTAACCAAGAAAATAAAAAGGATTACTGATCAGAAAAATACACATTTTCTATGATGCCTCATATTGTAATTTAGTTGAAAATCTATTCTGTGAAAGGTATTGAAAACTTCAACATTTGTAGATATTATAAATATGTTCAAAAAGTTGTTTGAGCCAAAAGACATCACAAATATATGTATATCCTTCTAAGTGCATTAGACATATTGTAAAGCCTTTGTAACATTCCTAAACCATTACTAGCAACAAAAATAAGTACAATTTAGCAATTACTTTTTGCCATTATCATGTTCATAGAAGTCCAATCTTCAAACAATTTTAAAATTTCCTTACTTATCGACATTATATACCAACAAAGGCAACATATAAGTGCAGCTAATACATAACAGGTTCCACACAATACACAGCATCATATTGCAAAACACGTTATGATTATGACGATGATGATTACGATGTTCTTATCACACACACACACACACACATACACACACACACACACACACACACACATATATATATATATATATATATATATATATATATATATATATATATATATATATATATGTATATATATATGATTATTTCATTATACTCAAATATATCCATAAGCATTAATTTAAGCAGGGAAACTAGAAACTGCACTTTCGCGAGGAGTTTTAAAAGATAAGTAACAAATGATATTCATAGCCTATATAAGGATTTTTACATTGATTTTTATGCTCTGTATAAAGTTATAATGCTTTTACCCCATGCATAGACTTGATAAGGCATTTGCATCAAGCCCATGAACAGAGATTTGGCTTGGACTTACCGATGCAGGGATTTCAGAGTATTATTTATAGTTTACATCACTTCTTAAGGCGCTGATTAGAGGTATCCGTCTCACATGGTATGGAAATCACTGTTGTTACGCTTTTACATGATCAAAAATATGATAGTGATTTGATACTGCTAAGGTATTCATATTAATACAGAAACACCATATTTATTTTGTATGCAAATTAATTACCCAAGAAATGAATTTGTATACGAGTATGTAATTCAATTAATTTGCATAAGGGTATCTACTTCATCCAAAAATGCATTACGTAGCTTGTGAATCGTCCCTGATAGTGAGAGTGACTTTACTCTTGTGGTAAAACAGGTTTTTGAGAACTTCTACCTTGCTAACAAGTTTACACTCGTTTGTAAATGTGCAATGGCTATTCGATTAACTGATGCCTCTTTCAGTTATTGAGTGTTTTGGTTTATGAAATATAAAATAGCAGTTGCAGTAATTGTAGTGGTAGTAGTAGTATTAAAGAGTAGTAGTGGTAGTAGCAGCAGCAGTGGCAGTGGTCGTAGTAGTATCAATAATAATTATAGTAGGAGTAGTCATATCAGTAGCAGTAGTAGTAGTAGTGGTAGTCACAGTAGGATCAGAGGTAATAATATCAAGTAAATTATCATGATGATGTAATCGTTGGTGAAGGTAAAAATGGTTAGAACACAGTGAGGGTGTTAAAATGATAACGACAATGATATTGTTACACTGATAACACTGAACAGGGAGATACAGGGACGGTAATAATTGTCATTGTTGTCATCATTAAAATCATCGGCATTTTCATCACCGTCTCCATTATCATATTTATTACAATAATAATAAGATTGATGATAGTAAAAACATGAATGAAAGATAATGATGATAATAGTAACACTGAATATAATAATAACAACAACATCGATAATACTGATAACGATAATAATATTGATAATAGTAAAATGATAATATTGATGATATTCATTATCAGCATTATTATCATTAATATCATCGTCGTCATCATTTTCACTTTCATCATCATTATTATTACTATCAATATTATTATTATTATTTTTAATATGACTATTATTATCAATACTTTTTTCATAATTTCATCAATATCATTATCATCTTTTCTGATATCATCATTATTATCATTATCATTAATATTATAATTTTCCATATTACTGTCGTTATTTTCATTTTTTTTTTTTAATTGTAGTAGCAGTAGGTAGAAGTAGCATTAGTAATAGTGGTTGTGCTAATAAAAAGAAGATAATGACAATGATAGTGATAGTGATGACGATAAGGATAATAACAGCAATAATAACGATAATAGTCGTGATGATAATAATAATGATAATGATAATTATAATAAGGATAATGATAATAATAATGATAATGATAATTATAATAAGGATAATGATAATAATAATGATAATGATAATCATAATAAGGATAATGATAATAATAATGATAATGATAATTATAATAAGGATAGTGATAATAATAATAATAACATTAATAATAACAATGATAATAATAATAAAAATAATGATAATGATAAATGTAATAGATAATAATGATGAAAATAATAATGATAATAGTAATAACAATAACAACAACAGCAGAAGTAATATAACGATAATGATTTTAATAATGACAAGATTATGAACAAGAAGTAGAACAAAACAGGATTAAAAATATTAGTAGTTGTAGTAGTAGTAGTTGATGTTGTTGTATAAGTAGTAATAGTAGTAGTAGTAGTGATGATGTTTACCGCAAAAAATATAAAAATGAAAATGGTGACATATTTACAACAAATGTTATAACATATACCTAATGGAAGCGAGTAAATATATCTATTAAAAGAGTGAAGGTAAATATCAGGTTATTGCATCACCGGCAGCACTAGAGGCCGCATCTCATTACTATGAGAATGACTTGCACGTGTGGAAGCCATCGTTTACTTGTGTCTATATAGTTTATTCGTATATTGCATTGTAATGTATGTTATATTCCGTTGTTTATTATTGTGATTATAGATACTATTTTGTGAGGTATATTACTGCTATGTTTGTAGATACTGTATTGTGTTGTATTGTTTATTACTATGTTTATTTTCTGTTCTTATTATAAATGGGTAGAGGTCATCATCTAAACAAAGATTGAGAATTTGAATCAGTGAATGTATGCACGATAAAATCAATAAATCTGTTAATTTATGATACTTTTTATCAACCGACATACTCTGATCGACCAAATACACTTCATTTAACCGTGTGCATATAGTGAACTAGTTCAAAAAGAAAATACTCAGTAGAATTGATCGTTAGTGAATATTATTGTTGTGTTGATATTTATGCTTAAGGATTTTTGTTGTTGTTTTGGTATAATATATCATATCTAATGGTAATGTTTGTGGAAAAAAATCGTGTATGACTGAATTTTCATAAGACGATAACGAATATAGATAACAGTTATGTGTAATTCATTATTTGACATTCGATCCTCTTCACAGAGATATAATGACATAAACAATACTCAGCATTGATATTTGTGTAGTTGCACTCACGGCGATATGTTATGATGACCAGTGACAAACTCTTATGATGAAAGATGCTCTTTGTTCACTAAAGCGTAAAATACAAGGAGAGTAATATGAGACTCAGATAACAAGACCAATACAATATTATAAATGATGACATAATCCCTTGATAAATGACAGCAATTACCTTTCACTCGCTTCAGTATAATAAAAAGTAATAATGCTAATTACGCATGACATAACCCCCTACTCATTAAGTCGCTAAGTACAAGGAAGTCATTCAAAAGATAATACAAAAATTTGCCGTGAAAAAAGTGCTGAGTCACCGAATTCTCAAGGTTTACCGACAAAAACAAAGTCACTGTATTTCCCTTCAGAGCGAAAGGAAGTGCGGCAGACACTCATTAAGGAAAAGAATGATGATGGTCTGTACGTAAGATAAAAGCAGAAATATATTTGTTATACATAAAAAAGGAAAGATAAAGATAGAACAAATAGATAGTGATAAATAAAAGGAATTATGTATGTATGCATGTCCTGCTCATGTATCCGATAGACAGATTTATGAATCCGTAAGACCATGGATAAGAAAGTAAATAAAAATATTTAAAAAAAAGTAAATAAATAATATACAAATACAGATATGAGCACAAAAATAATCCACAAACGCACCAACCAAATGCAGCCACACACACACACACCTCTAACCTTGCAAATGAGGATGCAACAGCGTCGTATTTGGCCGTATTTGGCGTGGACCTTACACTAACACAGAGATTAGTAATCCGTGCGCAGCCCCGACCTTGCGTCTGACCTTAAAGGGGAAGGAGAGAAGAGCGTCACGGAGGCATCAGCTGAGGAGTGACGAAGCACGCCCGTCCAGGAAGACATCTGCTGGGGAGGCTAATCAGGACGTGCGCAAACACTCGTGTGTGTGCGAGAGTGTGTGTTTGTGTGTGTGTGTGAGTGTGTGTGTTTTTTTTTTTGAGTGTGTGTGTTTGTGTGTGTGTGTGTGTGGGTGTGTGCGAGAGTGTGTGTGCCAGAGTGTGTGTGTGTGTGTTTGGAGTGGGGTTGGAGTGGGGGTGGGAGTGGGGGTTGGATGAGTAGGAACGTATGTACATGTATGTGTGAATTTGTGCTCGTATGTGTGTGTGTGTCACTGTGTGTCTGTATACATGTGTGTATGTATATATATGTGTATATATTTATGTATGTATATATGTACATATTATATAAATATCTATATGTACATGTACATATAAAAGTATGTGTACATATATGATATATATATACATGTGTATGTATGTGCGTGTATATACATGTGTATGTATGTGCGTGTATATACATGTGTATGTATGTGCGTGTATATACATGTGTATGTATGTGCGTGTATATACATGTGTATGTATGTGCGTGTATATATATATATATATATATATATATATATATATATATATATATATATATATATATGTATATATATATATATATATATATATA